CTCGTTGATCGTTTTCGACTGTCTCTGTATTGCCTCGTCGCTTATATTAGGTGGAGAAACGGAAAGTCGATGACGTGCGTACTACGTCATCTAACTTGCTGTGACGTCAAACGTACAGACCTGTCGTGTCGACGATCATCTTCAGAAACATGGTGTCGTCTTTGACGTAAACGGGATTTTTCAGGATGTCCTGATAAACGAAGAGAGGGCATCTGGAAGCTATGTTCATGTCGCCAGTCGGTCTTTTGAAGCTGCTGCTTCGAGTGTCGAGCAGCAGCATCGTCACCTTTTGATCGAACGGCCATTTAGTAGGGCGTCGTAGTCTCCTTTCATGACGACGAAGAACATGGAAACGTGCGTCCCTTTGCCCATTCCGTCGCCGTTCAGATAGATTCAGGCGCACATCTGGTATCCGAACCGACCGGCGTAGAAGGGTTGGCTGTAAAGGGACACGATTTTGCCGCTGTCCGCTTCCTGCTTCTTCATACGCACGGAATTTATCTTCCACATCAGCACGCCGTCGTAGCTGGCTGTTTCCAGAATCTGAAAACGCAAATTCTGTTCCGACAGCTGTGCGGATTGGATGTCCATTTCCTTCTGCATGTTGGAAATCTGTTGTTGTGCGGGTCCGCGGAGTATTCCTCCTCTTCTTCCCCCGGTTCCACCGATGGCTCCCATTTCTTCCACCTTCTTTATCAACGCTGTCGTCGATCCGTGCAACGAATCGACCGTCCGTCGGATGTTTTCGTTCGCTTTTCTGTCTTTCTTCGCCGTATTTTCCAAAGTTTCAATATTGTCCGCCTGCCCCGCCAGTAGTTTCTGAAACGAAAGAGAAAAACATTTCATTAAAATTTTCAAGCGATTCGAGGCTAAAGAAAAACAAATAATAAATATTATGCTGCGGTTACCTTCAATTTACCGAGACGATCGTCTTTCGATTTATGCGTCAGCTTGATGGATGCTATCTGCTTCGCAAGTTCTTCGTTTTTCTGTTGGTCCGCTTCCACCCGACTTTTCAGTTCGTCGACCCGGCCCAATTTTCGAAGTTGGATGTCCATCTGACTTTTCAGTTCGGCGACTTTGCTAACGGCTCCGGACAACTCGGCTGTTAACCGCGCTACCGCCATCACGGTCATGTCGAGATGGTTTTGGACTCCCTCTTCAGCATGCTT